TTAACTTTCCTCCTGAACGTTGTGGTTTCTAAAGTGAAATCTGTTTTTCTCTGGGTTTTCACAAGCTCCTCTCTGTTGTTCACAAACACTGGGGTTTTGGGCTAGGTCTGAACCATTAAAATGGCTGTGTCAAGTTTGTGCCTTTTTTTTTTTAAATTAGGTGATTCTTAAACTGCACCTGTAAACAATTTGAGCTGTTCAGTTCAGCTTGCCTTTAATTATGCTGGAACGGCTTCTTTTGAAGTGCTTTTCTTTTCTGTGTGGTGGGTGGAAGGAGCAAACAACTGGGATCTGTGGCACCCATGACTGACTTTATCTGGCACCTGCTGTAGCAATTCTGTCCCTTTTTTACCCACCTGTGACTAATTTCACCAGTTTTGAAGAGGTGTTAAAATCCCTACCAAAGGCTTTGAAAGTTTGCACAAAGAACTGCTTGTATGGAAATTACTGTTGTTTGTTATTTTAATGGTTTCATTATCTTGATGCAGTGGTAAACGTGCTGGTCCTGCTGTTGAGAAATACAGATACCAGGTGAGTGATGCAATGTGGGCTGAGGGTTTGGTGTGTATCCTCAGTTTACTTCTGTAGCAGTTTGAAGTTTGATGTCTTCCTAACAACCCGAATTGGCTCTTCTTAGCAACTTCTGTGCCTTGGAAACATGTAGGGTTAGGTGGGGGGTGCTTTGGTAAGGGCCTGGGATTTTTTTATTTCAAAGGACTCTCTGTAAACTGGTTTGTTGCTACTTTGGTGTGGGAGTGGTGAAGTTTGGAATGGATGGCGTCACTAAATTAGTGACCACATCAGAGCTGGGCCAGCCTGCACTCCTGCCAGAGCAGTGTGTCAAGGCGAGGTCACGCCGTGACCCTGAGAAGCAAGTTTAATATTATTCTTAGACCACGAGGAATTTCCACTTACTATAAAGTTGTCAGGCTGCTTCTGCCCCTCCAGTCAGTGGGACAGGAACCTGGTGTGTGCAGAGATGCTGTAGTGCAGTTTGGGGCACCGTGATGATACAGATTATAAAAATAATAAGCTGATTGTGAGAGTTTCTCCTGGAGCTGGAGCTGCTCAGGTGCATCGAAGCCGTGGAACAGCTCTAGGGTTCTCTGTCAGGTCAAAAATGATAACGAAGTTAAGGTTTACAGGAAACGTTTGTTCTGCTCAATTAGCAGAGTCTTAAGCACATCCTTAGCCACCCTCTCACGGAGGAAGAGAGTGCCAGCAGGAGGGTATGGGAGCGTGTGGATCCTTGGGAGTCCGGGATTAAACATGAAAGGGAAGCAGCAGCTGCTCGGCCGGGCAGGGAGAGCTCGGCAGGGCCGGTCTGTGCCCGCTCTCTGACGATGTGCCCGGTCATTGAGAAGCCCATCAAATCCCCTTTGTGCCGCCCCGGGTGTTGGGAGCAGTGCTGAGCACAGCGGGAGAACACCCGGAGCCTGCCAGAAGTGCGTGTTCGGGGCAGTTCTTGCAGCACTTTGCATCAGCCGTGCCCAGCTCTGACGTGTGGGGCCGAAGGTGGTGGGGAGGGTGTTCACCAGAGGTGAAGCTGGTGCCCTGCAGGGCAGGGGGAGCACCGAGGGGTTCTTGCCACCCACCTTCTGGGTACAGGGGGTGGGTGAGTGGGTGGGAAAGCTGTAGGTTATCAGTGAAAGGGAAACTGCTCGGCAGCTTCTGAGCAGAACCTTGTCTGTGTTCTGCAGGATGAGTAGTTATAGGTGCATAAAGGTCTGTGGATCAGGGAATCCTGTTTTCCAAAGAGCAGCAGTAGCACATCTCCCCACCCCCCAGCCTTTCCTCCGCTGACTTTGTGGGATTTGGGGTGAGAAAAACCCTTTGGGTCTCTGTGTCACTGCAGCTGCTGCTCTGTGCTTTGTAAAATATGTCTGTCGGGTTCCTTTTGAGGATCCTGAGCTGCGGGAACGGGGTAATGGACATACTGGGCTAACTGGTATCTTGGAGATCATGGAAGTAGGAACTGTGGGCCAGTCCCCTGGCAGGGGCTGCCAGAGGGGATCAGGGATCCATTAGGAGCTACTTTAGGAAGTGCTGCATCCTTGGAAGTGCAGAGGAGGAGGAGAGGTGCAGGGGGTGTGCCATCCAGCCTTGGGAAGCCTGATAAGCCCAAACACCGTATCAGGCAGTGTTGCTGACTGTAGGGCTTTTCTGTTTGCTCCTGTTGAAGTTTGGAGCATAAATAATGATTATCTCTGCAGTGCAAGGGCTCTCTCTGTGCTTGGCCCTGTGTCCCAGCCCCCGCTCCATCGAGCAGGGTCAGGGAGGAGGGAATTAGAGGCGGTGTCTTTGGCTGACATGAACCCGCTGGGGAGGGATGAGAGGAAGGGGGTCTTGGGGGCTGGGTTCAGAGCAAGGTTAGCCAAATATCGGATAAATTAAGCAAGAGAAACAGACAGCTCAGCTTGCAGTGAACTTTTCACCCAGCTAACCTGTTCCTCACCCTGCCTTGCACAGGTGGAGTACGACTGGAGCACAACCCTGGCTGTCGCTGCCTCCCTGCTTGCTGCAGTGCAAAGCCTGGCCAAGGGGAGAGCAAGGACTGCAGAGGGGGCTGGTTTGCTGTTTGGAATCCAAGAAATATTACAGTTCTGATTTCTGCCTTCAGAACCCTGAAGTTAACACCACTAATTGCAGAGGGGTTGGTTGTTATTTGCTCCGGGGTACAACGAGGACCAATAATTTCTGGTCATAAAGGCTTGGGAAGAAATTCCATACTGGAGAGGGCAAGGAACAAATGAGAGTGTCTAAACAGGGATGATTAGAAGATTCTTTGTGGGAAAAGGCAAGACTGGTGGGAATTCTGGTGTTTATTTCTCTGACTTTTCTTCTGCATTTACAGTGCAAGTAAATACAAATAATTGCTGACAGATGTTGTGAAAACACAGCATTATGTTAACCTTTAAGGTTAATTTTTTTTTTTTTTTGGTTAATAATAGATATTGATAACTCGACACGGTGCTCTTGGCTCTTGCTCACATCACCTCTGTGCAATGGGCTCTGCTCCAGAGGTGTGTGTGGAACCAAGAGCTGAACTTGTTCTCTTGACCCTTTCCCAAATCCCCACTGCCTCCACTCCCTCTCCTCCCCAGAAAGCTCTAAGCAAGTTAAAGTTACTGGTTTTTAAGCAGTTGCTCCATCACAGTTGGTGAGGCCTGAAGTTTTTGAAGTTTTTGATATGTTTTTAGGCCATTTTTCTGTTCTGTGGTGTGGCAGGTTTGTTGGACAGTAATACCTGGTGTTACTTCAACCTAGTTTTTAGGCTAAAAACCCTGTGCTGAATTGGGACTCTCCAATTCTCCTCTAGTTTTTCTTTTCCCTTTTTTCTCACCATAGGTAAGGAAGGTCTGAAACCAGTAGCAGCTGCCTAATGCACAGCACTTCCAGGAACTAGGTCCTGTATTTTTCTCTGTGTGCCTAAATTCCATAAAACTGCAAAAAGTAAAAAAAAAAAGAATTCCTCATAGATCTCCCCTCCCTCCCCCCTTAAGGAGCTTTTACTGTCAGTGCACTTCTGGATGGTAAGTGCTGGGAGCTGGGTGTCTGAAAAGGGAAGAGCATTGTATAAACCTGGAGATAATCCCTGACTCCAGGGAGCCACAAGCCTTCCTGAATGGTTTTGGGTTTGCCTCTTGCTCTGCCCCACACACAGGGGTGGTTCCCACCTCCCCAGTTTGGATCTGGGAAGGAGGTCAGGCTCTTCTGGGACTACCTGTAAGTGCCAGTTCACACACAGCTCCTCAGCCACTGCCAGGGGGAGGTTCTGGCTGCAAAGGAGCACTGACAGCATCCAGGATTTTGCCAGTCCCTTCCACATATGTATTCTCTCTTCTTTTTTTCACCTTCCTTACTCATTCTCTCTCTTAGTGATGTCTTCTGTTGGCAGGAACACACTTGGTTTTGCCCAGAGTGAGATGGATCTTGAGTGCAGAGATAGAAAAGGGTGAGGCTGGATCAGTTCTAGGTGCCCATGCTGCCATATTTGAGAACATATTGACATTAGGGGCAGCTGAAGCCCTAAAGTTGATTTTGGAGCTATTTTTGGCTGTGTTACTGTCTCATGCAAGGCCTAAAAGAAACTCTAGACATGGATCTGCAGAGTTGTTCTCCTCTAAGCAAGGAAAACAGCTTCACCCTTCCTATTTGTTAGCCCCAGGGTGGGTTCTTGATCTGACTCTGGGGGATGGGAGAGTCGTTAGTTTGAAATTTGTGGTGTCAAAAATCCTTATACAGGAAGTGTTGTGGAGCTCATTTGTTCACTCGTGCTGGGAGGGGCTGGGGTGGCAACAACTGAAAATAAGAATGTTCTCCCCAGTATTTGAGGGAAGTTGTTTGTTTTGCAGGCAGTGGCAAGGAGAATGAAAGGATATTGAGGAAACAGAGCACAGAGGTAAGGTCTCAGTAGAGGACCTCTTTGGATGACTTATAAAAATTCAGTCCACTTCCTAAGACTCCAGGCTTTTAAAGGGAAAAAAATCCCTCTTATTTGAGATTTTCCTACAGAGGAGATATGAGGATATTTTATAGTATTAAATAAAGGGATCTAAAGTGTAATCCCTACCTTGCACAGGATTCCTGGATATTCTAGTGCACTTATGCATTATTTTGGTGGTTCTAAACCGTGCAAACAAGTAAGATGATGACAAGAACTGTGGCTTCTTAGTCCTGACTCTGCAGCCTGCGAAGTTCAGCCCCAAATCACCCAACAGCTCTCGTGGAGGGAACTGCTTTACGTAGCAACCCCTGGATTGTTCTCACGGTGAAAAGTCTGGTGTTGGCCCAGCAGAACGAGCTCCCTGGAGAAGAGCAGAAGAGCTGCCCCTTCCCTCCTTTCTGGCAGAGCAAGTGGATTTGTGGCTGTTCTGAGTGAGCAGCGAAGCTGGCACCGAACCCCTCCTCTGCCGGCAGCCCAGGGGAAGGAAAGCTCGGCGGAACCTTCGGTGTGTTATTTATTAGCACTTCGCAGCCCCCTGCAAAATGAAGTTTGGAGGACCGTGAGCCGATGGTAACGGTGAACACTGGGAAAAGCCCGGGAATCAGCAAATCCATTGTGTTGCGCTGACAGAAAGATACTGTTACAACACACTTTAGCTGCCAACTTGCTGCAGTCACTCAATCCATCACGGTGGGCTGCGGGATCACAAGCCAGTGAAACTCAGCCTGGCGTGTTATTTTAGTCTTACATGGACTGTGAGATAAACGGGGCATGAACCGGCCCCCTGGCAGGGGGTCGACCCCCGGCGCCCTCATTAAAGTGCCAATCAAAAAGAGTAATGGGAGGGGGGGATGGAAATCTGGCTCCTCCGGCCCCGCACCGCGCGGTCCCGGCGACTCGAGCAAGCCAAGGGAAACATTTCCCCGCTGAACAGGAGCCAGCCCTCCAGAAATGCCTCCTCCCGGCTCGCTCCGGGTCTTGCTGGTGGTGGGAACCTGTTCCTTCCTGCTGGCCGGGCTGAGCAGGGAACGGGAGGGGTCATTGCTGGGCATCCCCTGGGAAAGGTGTGGATGGGAGGGATCATTGCTGGGCACAACCTGGAAAAGGTGTGGATGTGAGGGATCATTGCTGAGCACAGCCTGGGAAAGGTGTGGAAGTAAAGGATCATTGCTGAGCATCCCCTGGAAAAGGTGTGGATGGGAGGGATCATTGCTGAGCACAACCTGGGAAAGGTGTGGATGTGCTTTCTGTGGATACACAGGCACCGGGACTGTGTCCATCATCAGTCAGTGCTGTGTTTTCTGTCAGAAGTGGCTCATGGTTCAATAATTGTGTGTGTGAAAGATGCAGTGAAACCTCCTCTCTCCCCACAGCAGTGCAGTTCCCCCCCCCGAGAGCATCAGTGGGTTGTCTGTGTGTGCAACAAGGTTTTTAGCAGGGCCTGTTGCAGTAGAAGCCACAATGGTTTCTGAGTAAGGGAGAATAGTCTTAGACCAGATATGAGGAAGAAATACTTCACAATGAGGGTGGTGAGGCACTGGCACAGGGGGCAAGGTGTGAACGTGGATTCTTGTGCAGTGTGGGGGTTATTTCTGAATTCCATGGGAACCTGCAGCAAATGGATCCTGCAGGAATGGATGATCCCGGGGGGAATGTAGAGCTGAGGCTGAGGCACGTGAGCAGTGCTGAGGTGCCTGTCACTGGTGGCTGGTGCTCAGACAGGCCTGGGAGCTCTGCTTTGGCAATGGGTGCTTGTCTCTGAGACTCTGAGTGCACCTGACACTGCTGTGGGAGTTCCTCTGTGGCCTGGGATGCGTTCTGGGTGGTGCACAAATACATGTTCTTGTACACGTTGATTCCTCTGGTGTGTGCTCAAAGGAGAGGGCAGAAAGGTATCTATGAAAAGAAAGAAAGGTGAGTGAAGTTGTTTGTGTAATGTGGATTTTTAGTGTTTGAAATCGGGAAGCTCAAGGTGGGGGAGTTGCCTCTTAAACCTGCTTATAAATGTCAGCTCTGCTGTGATCTCAGTGTGATTATGACCTTGGCAGCTGTTTATTTTTGCTCTCAAGGTTTTATCAGTAGCAGAGGGTTTCTCCAGGTGGATTCTGGTTTGGTTTAAAATATTTTATTTTTTTTTTTTATGGCCAGGATGAGCAGTTGGGATTAGTGTCAGTGAAGCAAAATGTACAAGTAGGAACTGGTGTCGTGCTGCAAGATCAGAGAGTGACCACTGAGAGAATGGAATGAGTTTGTGCTGTCTCTATAATCCTTTGAAGCCTCTTAGTGCAAGTGCTGTTACACCACAAGTACAGATGTGTCCTGGCACAGAAGGTAGTGCTGAACAGAATTTCACGTTTCTGGGATGTTTATCTCCAATACTGTTTCCTCCATACTTTGAGATTAAAATAAATCCTGAAAAAAATGATGAATGGAAGGGCCTAGAATTGCACCTTGGCAGAGGGGGAACATCCCTGGTGGTGCTCCTGGTACTGGAGCTGCTGTGTCAGGGGTCTGACCTTCCCAAGAGCAGGCTGGGGGAGAGTCTGGGCCTGTGAATGGTGGGTCATTTTAAAGAGTTATTTGATTTTTTTTTTTTTCTTCCCTCCAAGCCTCCACGCAGACACATGTTTTTTGCTACATCATTATTTTGATACCCGGTGGTTTGTTCTGCTGGTTGTGGGTTGTTTGCCAAGGGCCTTGGAGCAGCAGAGCTCAGGAATGGTGAGTCACCCTCCCAGGGCAGAGAAAATGTTTGCTTTTGCGGTGTCTGGAGGGCTGAGGGATAGCTGGTATGATGGATTTCTCTTTTATTTGTTACAATTCCTCTCCAGCTGCAGCGTGCAGGGGACTTTTTTTTTTTTTTTTGCTGGCATTTTCAGAAACCATTGTTCTGCAGCTCCCGTAGCAGCCCTTGTCCTTTGGGTGACCCGGCCATTTATCCAAAATGTAAATGCACATGGAAGCTGTTTACTTCTCTCGTGGCCTTTCAGTGCTTTTGAGTCAGCCCAGAGCAGGCCGGAGGTACAAGGTTGTTTTTACCCACCAGGAGAACACGTTGTGCTGGGCCCAGGGGCAGGCACTGGAGTGTCAGATGCAGGGAATAAAACAAAAATAAACCCAAACCACAACCAGCAGACCCCGTGTGACACTGGAGCCTGATGCTCTGAGGCAGCACGAGCGTCCCCAGGCCCTGAGCAGAGCTGACCCAAAGCAGCTGCTGCTCCCATGGAGCTGCAGTTTGCTCCCTGATATTTGTATTTCTGGCCCAGGATGTGCTGTGGTTCTACTGAGCAAAACACCAGAAAAAAAAAAACAACCACCCGACTATTTTTTCCCCAGTGTTTGTCACTGGTTAATCAGTAACCTTTTCTTTCTGGCAGGAATCCTTGTAGGATTCTGCCCTCTCCTGCCTGTGAGGCACATGCAGGGCTGGTCCCAGTGCCCACCTGCTGCTGGGGTTGCCTCATGTTCTCCCAGTCCAGAAAATCTGCTGCTGGAGAACCATGAAAAGTCTTTGGTTCAGTCAAACTGCTTGGTGTCCTCTTAATATCTTCTCAGGCAGATGGGTTTGTGCTGCCCTGAGCCCTTTTTCAAAGCTGTCAGACCAGTAGCTGTAAGAAATGGGCTGCAAGAAAGTCAAACCAGTAACAGGAGTGGGGAGCTGGAAGTGGTTTGTCCCAGCCCTGCATTTGATAAAATTAAGGATCATAATGTGGAGTCAGAGTGTGCTGTCAGCTGGAATGCTACAGCAGTACTGGAATCTGAAGCTCTGGGCACATTATTTTATTTTTTTTTTCCAGAAACAGAAGTTCCTTCTTTGTAACAACTCTGCCTTTAGGAATAGAGGAGTTTGGAATACAGCCTTTGCTTTTCAAGAGAACTTTAAGTGTATATTTGGGATGTGTGTGTGTATATTAAAAAAGTAGTATAGAAGCATAGACATGCACTGTTATTCTTTGTTAGAAGAAAAGTTGTGTAAGTGGACTTTGAGCAACTGTTGACTTAATTACGTGTTTTAAGTTTGCTTTTTTTCCCCCCCCCCAAATATCTGTGCAGCAGCCTGTAAGCTGAAGAGTGTCACTGAAACCTGCTTTTTCAGAGCCAAGTACCACAGGTGAAATCATTGTGGCCAGCAGATTGAGGCAGGTTCCTCTGAGGAGAAAAAACAGAGCAAGGGCCTGGAGGAGTTGTCAGCTGAGTGGGCTCTGCAGTGTAGGAAGCAGGTTGGTACTAAGCTGTGTTTTAGAGAGAAAAAGAAGTAAAAAAAATAAATATATATAGAGTTGGGCTAAGACCTTAAGGTATTTTACTGAAAATAGATAAATGTTAAAGCATCCTGCAAGTCCAAGGAATGAGCAAATAGACCCCAAACAGATCCAAAGGTCCTTGTCACTGGGAAATGTATGACTGTTTCTTGGGTTTGAGATGTGGCCCATTTAGCCACTTAAGCTTCTCCCCACAAAAATGTAAGCACTGCACTGCTCTGGAAAACAGCCCTGGGGACTGGAGCTGCTGGGATGTATCATCACAGTGATTTACTGGGAGTCTGTTCAGGGGCAGAGGAGGATGTTCACATTTGCCCTGTGCTCATCTCCGTGCAGGAACACCTCACCATGGAGGCCCTGGTGGAACCAGAACTGTCCATGATCCAGGAATGATGGCAATGGAAGGGGTATTTCACTGGGAACAGCCCCCAGTGAGATGCAGAGGGACACGGAGAACTTCACCCCTGGCTTGTGCAAAGTGTCTAAAAGTCACTGAGTTTCCTTTTTTCCCGGTTTCTCCTGTGACTTTAGGAAGTGCTGACATTCCCTTCCTGGAGAGGCAGCACATGCACAGGTAAGTTATCTCTGGGCAGGGGAATCACACCTGGCTGCACAGTCAGTCACTGGGGAGGGGGCAGGGGAAGTTCCAGCAATGACAGTGGTGACATTTCCCTGGATTTGTACACCTTGGCAGGAGCAGGGGATTGACCACGGTGTGCCAGGGAGAGAGGACAGGAGGAGAGGGAAGGGGAGGAAGGGGGAACAAAGGGGAGGACAGGAAAAGGGAGGGAAGGACAACAAAGGGCAGGAAAGATAGGAAAGGATGGGAAAAGGAAGGGAAAGGGAGGACAGGAAAGGGAAAGAAAGGGATGTGACAGGAAAATAAAGGGGAGGAGAGGACTGGGGAGGACAGGAAAGGGAAGGGGAGCAGCGGGAAAGGAAGATAAAGAGAGGAGCTGCCACCACCCACATGTCACACGTGTCACTTCCATGTTGTGTGTGAGGCACCTCTTTCCCACTTAGAGTCGGTTCTTCCTTCCTGCCCCTGCTGAGCTGTTATTTCACCTACTCTTTGTTACACTTGGAACAGGTTTTTTTTACACAAATGAGATCCACTGTCCACTGTGGCTCCCTGAGTTCAGGGCACTCCAAGGGTGACTGTTCAACCACTGCTCAGCTGTTTGCACATCATCTCTGCATAAAATGGTTACAGACCCCAAGTATCCATCCCTGTAAATGCTCAGCAGGGCACAGAACTGCTCCTTGTTTTCCTTCCCCACCTCCAGCAGGCAGGTATTTAACACGAGTTCACAACTGGTTTCATTCTAACCTTCAGTACCAAAATGCTCCCATGTGCCTTTATGAAAGGACTTGACTTTCAAGTTAATCTTTTAAAGCTGCAACTCAAAGGTTTACCGAATAACTAAAGGTTTACCTTAAAATTTAGGTTACTCAGCATTACAGGGAAGTTGTATCTTCACACCAAAACCTGGCACCTCCAGGGAGTGACACTGAGGGTTCCAGTTCCTGTGGGTTTAAGGACACTCATTCCTCATCTTCAGCGTGGTTATGGTTAATGAGACAAATATTGATTTGATGTACAACGTTGGGAAAAAACATGTTACTTTTATTATTTTAAAACTTTACTTTTGAAGATGTTGTTGTGAAGTCAAACAAGCTGGTGATTTCCTCTTCCCCCCCCCTTCCAGGCACTACTCCCCCCAGCTCCAAACCCTCCCTGCATCTGAGAGAGGGGAAAACCTGAACTTAGAGATTCCATTTCCAAGGCTCCTCCCTTCAACTGTTTTAGAAACAAGTCAGAAGAAGGAGCCTTGAGGTGCACACCGTGAATGCAAAACTGAATTAGTTAGTCCTCACTGTGGAACAGGTTTTTTTACACAAATGAGATCCACTGTCCACTGTGGCTCCCTGAGTTCAGGGCACTCCAAGGGTGACTGTTCAACCACTGCTCAGCTGTTTGCACATCATCTCTGCATAAAATGGTTACAGACCCCAAGTATCCATCCCTGTAAATGCTCAGCAGGGCACAGAACTGCTCCTTGTTTTCCTTCCCCACCTCCAGCAGGCAGGTATTTAACACGAGTTCACAACTGGTTTCATTCTAACCTTCAGTACCAAAATGCTCCCATGTGCCTTTATGAAAGGACTTGACTTTCAAGTTAATCTTTTAAAGCTGCAACTCAAAGGTTTACCGAATAACTAAAGGTTTACCTTAAAATTTAGGTTACTCAGCATTACAGGGAAGTTGTATCTTCACACCAAAACCTGGCACCTCCAGGGACTGACACTGAGGGTTCCAGTTCCTGTGGGTTTAAGGACACTCATTCCTCATCTTCAGCGTGGTTATGGTTAATGAGACAAATATTGATTTGATGTACAACGTTGGGAAAAAACATGTTACTTTTATTATTTTAAAACTTTACTTTTGAAGATGTTGTTGTGAAGTCAAACAAGCTGGTGATTTCCTCTTCCCCCCCCCTTCCAGGCACTACTCCCCCCAGCTCCAAACCCTCCCTGCATCTGAGAGAGGGGAAAACCTGAACTTAGAGATTCCATTTCCAAGGCTCCTCCCTTCAACTGTTTTAGAAACAAGTCAGAAGAAGGAGCCTTGAGGTGCACACCGTGAATGCAAAACTGAATTAGTTAGTCCTCACTGTAATATTCACCAAAATGCAATTTTTGTTTAAAAAAAGAGGCTGACATTTCAGTGGAACACCAGGTCTCTGTGCTCTCACCTGTACTAGTGAGTTAGGAGAAAAAAACCCAACAAAAATCCCATTAAACTACCCCAACCAATGCACCCTTCTCACAGTGTTAAAGCTCCAAACCAAGGCCACCTGTGCTCCAATAGCTGGAATTAACTCTTAATTTTATATTTTAAATGTTTATCTCCTTTCCTGCACTTTTTGAACAGCAGTTTTCTCAATGGAAAAAAAAAGACAGAGAGAGAGGAGGGCTCGTGTCAGGTAGTGCAGTATGACTCAGTAGAGCTCCTTTAATTTCTTTACACAGTAAACAGACTTGTATTTATACCAACACCCGCCTGCCCGCTCGTATTTACATGGACACTTGTACATATATACATGTTAGCAAAATACAGGGCTTCTCCCAGACCCAAAGCTGTGTCAGCTACACCTCTGTTACACACCTAGTGCTTGAAAAAGAAAAGCCACCTCTCCTGTTTTCACTAAATACTAAAATTATATTTTTTTTCCTTCTCAGTTCTGGCTCCAGCCTGGTGCTTGCAGGTCACTCTGGCAGTGAGGAAGTGGGTTTTCAAGAGTCCAGCTCAAGTTGTTCTTGATTTTCACTGAGTCTCAGCATCAGCTGCTGCTCGTAGTAAAGGCTCTTTGCATAGTTGATTTCTTGAGACAGCTTTACTGCCAGGGCTTCTGATTTCACTTTCACCTGCAGAAAGAAAGGGGATTTTCGTTTCCTGCCGTCAGCTAAAGCAGGAGAGATTTTAGGTTTGAAGTGAGGAACAGAAAGGTGTCAGTGGAGATCCCTGCTCAGTGCTGAGGCTGAGGAAGAAGAAGCAAGTGGAGCACCAGGTGCACACAGACAGGTACTCAGGGGTGAGAGCAGGAACATCTTACATATCTGAGGTTGTTTCCTTTGCTTCCCCTCCTACCTTTTATCTGGCTGCTCTGTTTGGAATGTAAACTGCCTTGGGTCAGGGGTGAGCTTGTAACTGGGCCTGTAAAACAGCCCCTGAGCAACTACTGTAATGGCACAAAAAGCCCTGTAATGGGCTTTAGAAGAGAAAGCCTTGATTAACTTTTATATGCTTGACATAAACACTGTTTCCAGTCTTAGAGACCTCACAGCGAAAAAACACTACAAGTAGGAGATGAGTAAAAAGCCAGCAAAGTACCCAAGTTCCATTGATGTGGTAAAGTTAAAAGCCTTTCATAGGTAAACACGTTTCTTCCTGTTACTTTTCTGCCTGAAGGAATATTTTAGGGTTTGCCTTTCTTTAGCTTTCTCAGGAGTTTAGGGAGTGCCTGAAGTTGGATATTAGGAGCAGGTTCTTCCCCCAGAGGGTGGCTGGGCACTGAACAGGCTCCCCAGGGCAGTGGTGCCAGAGCTCAAGGAGTGTTTGGACAACGCTCTCAGGGACAGGGTGGGATTGTTGGGGTGTCCTGGGCAGGGACAGGAGTTGGACTGGATGATCCTGGTGGGTCCCTTACAGCTCAGGATATTCTGACTCTTTCAACTCCCCACTCACTGAAACCTCAGCACAGCTGTTCCAGTGCTGACAGAGCAAACCCTCGGGGCACACGAAGGGAAGGAGGTGCCAGGAGCTCACCATAGGTCTCTGCTGGGAGGGGCCTGGCATGGCCACCCCACTGCTGGTGTTCACAGCCTTCTTGGTGAGCTGGATGTAGACGTTGCCGTGGTCCTTGGACACCAGGCAGTGGTACAGGTCATCATACCTGACCTCCAGGAAGATGGCATCGCGGTCCGTGTAGTCCCCGCTCTTGAGGAAGTACACGGCCTTGGAGGAGATCAGCACGCAGTAGCTGTCGATGTTCTCCACTGCTATGAAGCTGCAGCAAAGGAAAAAACAGAAATTATTAGCTTGGAGCTAAACCCAGCAAACTAACCCACGTCTTCACCTGTTTTGAGTGACCTCCAGGAGCGTGTCAGAAGATGTAGCAGTGTAACGTGTACGACTCATCTGTGTTTAATTTAGGCAGTTTAAAAGCAGAGCTGATGAAGGACCCTCTCCCCTAGTTATAAAAAGATCATGCTGTAAATCAAATATTAGTGCTAAATGCCTGGCAGCCAGCTTTGGGCATTACAGGGGCACATAAAAATGTCCTTTGACAAGGTTTAGGAAGAGTAATTTCCTTGCAAGTCCTAATGCTGAAGCTTAATTGGAACCAACTTCAGTTCCAGAGCTGCTACGTGAAAGGTGTGCAGATATT